AAATTCCCAGACTGAGTTCCTTACATATTTGACCCTGTGTGAAAGAACTTCAACTCTGAGATCTTCCCAAAGTCTGGCAAAATTCTCATGATAAATTTCATATGTTGGAAGAAATTTATTATACTGATACGTCAGATGGTATTAAATTTTAATACGACTAAGATAATAACCTAAATATTCAAAATTTAAATTGATTCATGATAACATGAAAATCAAGTCACTCTCAACTAGGGAGCATTCTGTTCTTCAGAGATCACTTGCTAATGTTTGCAGAAGCTTTGGGGTATCACAGCCTCCTTGCCTGAAGGGAGCCTGAGGTTTGCAAATACTGCTGGCATCCATCAGTCCACCAGAAAGTATTTCCTGACCCCAAACATTAGCAGTGCAGAGGTAGAGAAATCTTTGTGCAAAGAATGATACAGTTTCCAATCATAACCCAAAATGAACACAAGATTTAGAGCTTTGAGAATGAAGCTGAAATTGCTCTGGCTATCCTAATTTCCAAAAAGCTTAAATTTAAGACGTGGCAAATTGTGTACTTATAAAAATCCCAAGACCTGGGTAACACTAAGTAACTACTGGCTAAGTGCTCACCCAGCCCTTTCATGCTTCCATTTCCTGCCTCCCGGTGATGTGCTCTCAATATACTTTGATATTTGTTTACATGCCTACCTACCCACGCTGGATCTGAGAATAAGTAACCACAGCCATTAATCTACTTAATAAATGCCTACAGAATGGTTTCTGATGCGTGCCCCACGCTCCTGTGGGCCTCACAGCTTCAGCAGGGCACACGGGCCATTTTTCGTGCTGCGGGCATTCCGGTGTACAGAGATGAGGGCGAACTTAGCACAGGATAAGCGGTAACAAACGCTATGAGGAAAAGGAACACGGGAGGAGCAGGCAGGCAGCACTCCACATTACCACAGAGGCCTCTGTGAGCAGAGAGGTAAGCCCCCGAGAGACACAGACCACCTGGGCTTAAATGGAAGCGGTCGTGAGACACAGCGGGCTCCTCCTTTTCGCTGCTCTCTTTACATGGCTACTTTTGTTGTTATGTCTCTAAAGCCCTTCCTAAACTGTGTTATAAACTCCTGAACAAAAGCATCTACTTCTTACCTGTTTCGTACTCCAATGGTAGCATGAAATGTATTGACCCATTAGTAGAAATTAAATCAGAAATAAAATTTAAAAAAAAACTTACAAATCCACACAAACCTAACCTCAGAGAACCTTCTGCCCAAATGTCCTTATATCCAATGTCTAAGGAATCACAATTCAGCCATGTTGTTGTTGTTGTTGTTGTTGTTTGACCTACTTGGAGCTTCCCTCTCTTGCACTTTGCAGTGAGGACTTAGCACTAACCCTTACATGGCCTCAGTTGTGACTTTTCATCTTTCCTTCTCCCAAGGACTTGCCCATTTGTTCAGTTTTACTATGAGGTTAGAACAAGCATCTTTCACCTTTCTTTAGGAACTTGCTTTAAATTTTCTTGACAAAAGTCTTTTTTCAATACAAAAAAAGAAAAGAAAAGAAAGAAAAGAAAAGAAAAGAAAAGAAAAGAAAAGAAAAGAAAAGAAAAGAAAAAGAAATCCCCTGGGACACCCATAGCTCCTCTCACGGTCTGGCCAGTCTGACACCCAAAGGTCACTGAGCCTTGAAGTTAATCAGTGTTTAGAAAGGAGGCACCTCATTCACTCAGAGGACAGAGACACTCTTCCATCACTGGTCCTTTTAATGCTTAATATTATTGAATTATTGGAAGAACAAACCACTGGTTTAGATTTATAAAGGGTTCTTCACTTTTTCTTCCTTAAAGCCATCAGCTAAAACAAACACAGCCAATTCCACTTTTTATACATATATTTACAGAGTCATCCCTGTGAAGCATTCAGAAACACAGGAGTTAGCTTCTCCAAGAAGTTATCTGCAATTGCTATTTCTCAGAGAGCCAACAATCCAATTTAACCATTTCCCTAGGACATAGATTTCCTCATATGATGGTTTCCATTCATGTCTTACAGATAAGTCAATAAAAAGAAATTATCACTTCAAAATATACTCTTGAAATTCTTTTTCCTTATCTATAATGCACAGAATATGTTTAGAGTTATAACTTTTAAACAGTAAGGACAATTGTTTAACCTTAAAGTTGTAATAATCATCCATTGAAGACATCCAGCTCTCTTTTGAGTATTTGGGGGAATTGATAAAGGAATCCAGACTGGCAAAAACACAGGGATTCTCCCAAAGCCACATAGGAAGGAGTGGGAGAATTGTGAATTCATCACTAATTTTCACTGAGTGGTGGTTTTTAACACAGCTTACACTATCCACATATTAAGTAGCCACAGATAACCATTTTGAAGATCAGAATATTTATAATTTAGATATTTGATCTTGGCTTAAACTAATCTTACAATATTACTGTTACCCCAATACACTGGTATTCGACAGTATATCATTCTATTCTATTTTCATGATGCTGGCATGCTAGAGCCAGACTTTAACAAGGGAAGAAAACAGATGTTTCTCTTTTCCTTCTTCTTCTCTTCTTCTTCTTCTTCTTCTTCTTCTTCTCCTTCTCCTTCTCCTTCTCCTCCTCCTCCTCCTTCAAAGATTTATTTATTTTTATTTTATGTGCATTGGTGTTTTGCCTACATGTATGTCTGGGAAGGTACCAGATCCCCTGAAATTGGAGCTACACACAGTTGTGAGCTGCCATGTGGATGCTAGGAATTGAACCCGGGTCCTCTGAAAGAGCAGTCAGTGCTCTTAACCGCCGAGCCATCTCTCCAGCCCCCAGATAAGTTTCTTAATGTGAAAAAAAGAAGGCCCATGAGATACCTTTCCAGTATAAGAGGGGGTATTAGAATTTATCAACCCTAGTAATTATGCACGTTTTCCTGTCCTTGTCAATCACACAGGATGGATAGTTGTCAATCTCTGTAGAGTATTAGAATATTACCATTAAGTTACATTTACTGACATGCGGGACCCAGAGAGAATTTCTCCAGCTACACTCATGGGAAATATCTTTGAAAAAAAAAAAAAAAACATTTCTGTTGAAAACATGTGTCTAAGAACAATTTATTTCTTTAACTGAACAATAAAACTGGAATTTTGCTTAATACAACTGTCTCCAGTGAAAGTAAACAAGAACTTGCACAACCATGCTCCAAGAATCAGTGTACATTCTCACTTACCCAAGTGGAGAGAGAGTGCCCAAGGTAGAGAAGGAATTTTGCCGAGGTCAGGTAGTTTGCCAAGGATCCTACAAAGGCACAGAGAGAGTAGATTAAAAGCCTGTTTAATTACACCAGTGTGCTCAGGTTAGGGTTTGTTTTGGGTCATAATTATGTGTGATTTTTATCAAGTCACCTTCAGATTGATGCACTTCATACCATCCACTTAGGTTCAGCGTGGCCTCTTGGTCAATAACCGCCCAACTTCATGCACAGTGAAGAAACCTCCGTTTCAACATTCTTTAACTTTGGTGAGGTTTGTTTTTGTTTTTGAGTGCAAGGAATTCCACACTGCCCAGCTTAGTCTACCCTTGCCTATACGCAAGCTTTTTTTCCCCCTCAAACTTTGAATTTACATTTTTCTTGAGCCTCTGTCAAAACAGAAGTCAACTCCCATGGAACTGCGTCCCCCTGTCCCACCTGCAATCCCACCACTTGATGCGTTTGACTATGCAACTCACCGCAGCATCCTTCCTGGCGGCTCTGGTCGCTTGCCTTGGTCATGACACCAGGCGCTCTCCCCTTGCTTGTTCTGATGTTGGTTGCTGTAGCTGCTCTTGCCCAGGGGCTTGTTCACAGGAGTGCAGGGAACCGGAGATAGCACCGCTAAAAGCACGACAGCCTTGTGCCTGCGCAAGACCCCAAAGGACAACTAGGACAAAGAATAACAGCAAAGCTGCCACCGGAGTCTCTTTCTGTCTTCTTTCCAAACTTAGCTAACACTGTAGCTGAAGTTGGAAAGTCAAAGCCTTATGGAAGCGGGTTGGAGGATCCACGGGCCGAGGGAGAGACCCTGAGCCTGCTCTCGCCGCCGCCGCCGCCGCCGTGGGCCGGGCCGCCACTTATAGGCAGGCGGGGGCGGAGCTCGCCAGCGCCGGGGACGCCCCTCCCAGCAGGACACCCGGGTCAGGGCGAGCTGCGCTGCCGTCCCCTGGTGCCGGCCGCCCTCCCAGGAGTCTCCCCACCCCGGCGCGAACCACCTGCGCATTGGCTGGGCCACCCGCAGGAGAAATCGGAGAAAAGGTCGGGTGTCCCGCATTGTCGGAAGGGGCCTGCCTGTGCGTGGACCACGAGGGGACACCCTGGGGACGTTTTGCACAAAGAGCCAATTGGCAGGTGCTAGAGGCAAGGGCTTCGCTCTGGCCACCGGATTGCCAGACGAGTCCCTAAGCAAAGCTCAGCGGGAGCTGGAGCGGAAAAAAAAGAGCCTCCCACCCCAGCTACATTTTGGAATGCAGGTAGCTAAGTAAATACAAGTCGTGTCACAGAGGCAGCCTTCCTGGTCTCTGCGTCCGGCCTGCCTGCGGCGCAGAATGTTTTCCTTCCCCGGGCTGTAGAGAGGGACTTCTCTCATAGCAGTGGAATCAAAGCGCAGGAAGGGGATTCAAAGATCAGAGTGCAGCCGCTCCACAGCCCAGTAAGTGAACGCAGGCCTCCCAGCAGAGACTCTGCCTTCTGTCCTGCAGGCGCAGCCAGGAGACAGCACCCTTCACTGTCCTTTCCCTCCGAGCTCTCAACCCGCCACACCTGCCTCCTTTGCTACTCCACAAGCCCCAGAATCTGACAGGAGGTTACCAGGAATACCGGTTATCCCAGTTGGGACCATGGGTCTGGGCCAGTATGGACAAAGCCATCTGGTAGCCTCCTGAAGGAATGGGTGAATATAACTACAGCAAAATGCACCGGGTGCAAGCCTCTAGTGACCTCAGTTTATCCCCAGGCCAAACCTGCTCCTTGTGCTAGCCTGTCACTTACCTCTGTCAATCTGGTCAACACTTGAAGAGTGATCCTCAACATTGAAACGCCAACCAGCTTGCACACTCCCAGCACCGGCAGAATGATACCTGCTAATGAAGAGAGCCACTCATGAGCACGGGCCTTGTATCTGGACTCTCTATCAGAAGCCCCAAAGGTCTTTGCGGGCGGGGTGCTTTTGGATTCGTTGGATGAGGTCTGCAGAGCAGAGATAGGGGATTCACAGTTTACGGCTCCCAACAGCTTTTTTTGTGCTTTGCAAAGCCCTCTCTTTCCTTTCACACAAAACTTTCAAGTTCTCTCTCCTCTCCCAGAGGTTTGGTTATGTCTGCTGAAATTGTAAAATGGGGTGGTTTATCCAAATGTCTTTTGAAGAAAACCTAAAGTGTGCTTACATGAGACAGTTAGGAAGGCAGCATCCAGCAAATTGTGACACAATTTCCTAATTCCTGAATTTTGTTGATCTTCCAGCAAAATACAAACTATCTTGGTTCCTTGCACATAAGCCACTGTGTGCCAATAACAAGGACCTCTGTGTCCTTCACATTAATTGCTGTGAGCCTTAAGGGTGTGTGTTGAGCTGTTCCCACCCTCCAGGAAGCTTAACTTTCAGTCAGTGGAGAAGTCTATACTGCAGACTCCCAGAAACAGCTGAGTCGCCGGGAGCTTCAGAGTGTGACATGGAGCTTCTGTTTCCCTTGTCACCAAGGAGTACCCAGAAGCCAAAACTAGGGGAGAGGTGAGCAGGCCAGATGGAGCCTACCGTGAAGCAAACAGGAAAGAAAATAAGTAAGATCCATAGACAGCAAAAGCAGTGTGATATTTGAGCATTGGCCAGGGTTCCTAAATCCTGGCCAAGTCAGTGAGAATGACTAGTTAAGAGTGTGGTTTTGGAGCTCACGACATGGAAGGAGATAAAAAAGAAAACAGAGTAAAAACTGTCAAAACACTTGCAATATACACAGTGGCAGAGTTTCCTGGCCTTGACATTCTGGATCACAAAGCTTCAGTCACAAGACATCACCGGCTCTTCCTCCTTCCAAAGAAACATTTGACTGGTGGAAAAGTACAATTTCATCCAAAATGAATTTTTCTCGCAGAACAGAATCTATAACTTTCCTGTCAACTTAATCATAACTAAAAGAGCCATGCATGCTTTAAACCAATTTTCAAAAATGAAAAATAGGTACCCAAAAGACTATTTCTCAATTCATTTTCAGCATTTTATTGATGAGATGGAATCCAAGTTACTCATACCAGTTTTGAACTCACAATCCTCCTGCCTCAGCCTCTCTAGTGATGGAATGATAGGCATGTGTCATTATTGAGCTATTCCAAAGTTTGTCAGTTCCCAAGGCAATCTTTCAAATATTCCAGCCAAAATAAAATGTACTCTTATTGGAAGTTGTTAACAAATATTTATGGTTGAGAAATAGAAGGAGTCTTTATTCTTTTATTTCCAAATTGTGTTTTTACTTACCTCCAGGGCCCTCAGTTGCCTCTGCTGTCCAGAACAACGACAGCCCAGGGACTGATCACCACTCCCCTACCCTGAAGAGAAGTGAAAAGGAAAAAACACAGTGGGGTTATCACCAGCTGTTACCGGAAGGCCTCAGATCCGAGGACTCGGCTCCCATTGGATAGAGCTACCACTGTAAAGCCGAGTTTCTGTCCAAGCGCCTTTTTCGGTATTGGCATTTCTGTTACATTCAAACTGAGTAGATGATTCATAAATTTAAGTTCAGGTTCTTACTTCACATCATAGACCACTAACAGGCAGATAGGCTTGCTCACAGGTCTTCATTTTGGTTGAGTATTCCAAATGGATTTGACCTTGACAAGATTTCCATGAATTCATTCTGATCTCCCCTCCCTTCTCCTCTTCTGTTCTCTCTTCTCTCTCCTTCTCAAACATTTCTACCTTTAAAAAAATGAATGCAGAGTATTCCAAAATTATATATATGTATAATATACATAAAACATATATCATATACATACATACATACCTATAAATACATACAACAAATCCATAAATACAAAGTGCATAGTTGTCTTCAGGGCAGGAAGAATAGATAGTGCCATCTTCACGGCACTAGGTGTCTTTTTGAGATGATGGAAGTCTTGACAGTGGTATCAGTACAACACTGTGAATTTATCCAAAGTGTCAAAACTATATATTTTAAATGATATAAAAGGGTGAATTTTATATTATGTGAATTTTACCTCATGCTTCAAAAAAATGAAGGGAGGTTTGCCGTATTCCCATATTAGTGTGGATTGGGATCAATGTAGGTCAAATATGTAGAAAGAAGAGAACAGAAATCAAATTTTGCCCATCATGTTGGAAACTAAAACAGAGAACTATGTTAATTGTTTAATTGTCTCCATATGTAGCCTGAAAATAAATATGAATAAATATTTTGGCCTCTCAACTTTTTCCATAGTCTTTCCTTTTGTTTTCTAACCAAACTCTGTTACAATACAAAGTCCATTCCTTGTTATTTGTTTTCAAATAAAGCCAAAGATGGATGCTTACTGACCACAATCCTAGAGACAGCTCTCAGCCTTGCCGTCCTAAGGCTCTATAAAAAGAAACTCAATTCTCTGTTACTTGGTCATGTTCATGTGATTTGTTGTCTTTTTCTGTTTCTCAGTTGCTTGCAGCCCTCACGGGAGAGAGCACATAAATCTCAGATCTCTTGGGGAACTTCATCCATCCAAACAGTTCTCAGTGTACACACCTACCCAGGTCACCTGCCTCAGACACTCCAGATGGCATACCTGCTTCTAAGAAACAACTTGAAGCTCATTCCCACTGAGCTGGCCATGAATTTCTAGTCAAAGAGTTTGCATTCTGGGCTAAAGGCAAAAATGTTCCATTTAGGACAGAGTTCCCAAGTCCAATGCAGTACTGACTGACTGATGTATGTCCTCAAGGCCTTCCCTGGAATGTACACTATACCTGCTCTTTATTTTGTTTGGTTTATTTTATTTCAGAAAACACTACTGCTGATTTTTTTTAACCAAGTCTCATAAAATGACTAATTATCATTACATGTCGACAAGGGGTGTACCATATTAAAGGTAATGACATTCCTCAGCTGTGAAATGCTTGGGCAATTCCCTAATCTTAGATCCTTGAGTTGTGCTTACACTGACATCAGTGTGGTTAAAGATCTTTAAGGAGAGCACAAAAAGACGTTTACACATGATCTGGACAAAGCCCTCTAGTCCCACACAATTTGAAATCACTGACTTATCCCAACATTTCGAAAGAAAGCCTCTCCCAAGAATGCCCATCAGAAACACTCATTAGTGTTATCTGCATTGAGCCACACACATAACAAAAGGCACCTTCCCCTTAGAGCGCAGCACAAGTGGCAGGTCTGAGAGCAGACTCTTATCAGATATTACCATCTCGGTTCCTCTTCACAACACCCTGTGAAGTAATCTCGTCCTTATCCCAGCTGCAAATAGGAGGTCACTCAGGTAAAGAGCCGAGAGTAGCTGATACTCTCGGCTCTCTGCTTTCTCACTCGCCTTCTCATCAACTAACAAGAGTGGGATGAAACAGGTCGGGTAATAAGCCTAAATAAGTCCATCAAGCCACGACTAAAAATACCAGAAAACCAGGCAACAAACGGGGCTTGAAGGGAACAGCTTTGACAGTTGAGGGACAGCAAAAAAACACAGTGAAAGAAAAAGCCCTGCTGCTGGGATAAGACAATGCAGGCCTCCTTGTGGGGCAGAGACTTTTAATCCTAGGAGCTGCTGGAGAGCTTCAGCATGGCCCCTGCCGCCCACATGCAGACGGCAGTTCACCCCCTCGTTAGCTTCTGTAAGATGGGTGGAATGGTATGGCCAAAACCTGAGGTTTGTGTTGGGTTTGGGGGGTTTTATGTTTTCGTTTTTGTTTTTTTGAGACAGGGTTTCTGTGTAGCCTTGGCCCTGGCTGCTCTAGAATTCGTTCTATAGACCAGGCTGATCTCAGACTCTGCGATCCACCTCTGCCGCCCAGTGCTGGGATTAAAGGCGTGCGCCACCACTGCTCACAGAGAAACTGAGATGTCTGAGGAAATTCCACTTTTATTCTATACTGTTTGCTTCTTCTGTGTTTTATAATAAGTTTAGAAGATGTAGGAGTTGAAGCTTGATTAAAAATATTTTTGAAATAGTCTAAATTCCAGGATTCCTTGGCACTGAGGAGGGAATTAAACAGAATCTTTAAAGGGGACATGGTAAGTGTAGATTATGTCATATTATGAGAGTTCTTTTTAAGCTGTCAATAAAAACGTAGATATATATAGACTTATGTTTAGAAGATGGACTTTTCTATGGTTCAATAGAAATTATCTTTGAGGATAATCTTCCATATTTAGAAAATGACTTACTGAGGAATTTACACAGTTCCTTTTCATTTTAATGCCTTTGTGTTTTCTCACTTCCTTTTTTTCTCTATTAAGAAGTTTTCTATTCACTCCACATACCACCCACAGATCCCACCTCCCCCCTCCTCCCACCCCTCAGCCCTCCCTCCCAAGCCACCCCCATCCCGCACCATCCAAATCAAGGTCTCCCATGGGGAGTCAGCAGAGCCCAGCACACTGAGCCTAGGCAGGTCCAAGCCCCTTCCCACTGCACCAAGGCTGCACAAGGTGTCACACCACAAGCACCGGATCCCCAAACGCCTGCCCATGCACTAGGGACAGATCCTGGATCCCCCTGCCTGGGTGCCCCCCAAACAGTTCAAGTCAAACAACCGTCTTCCATATCCAGAGGGCCTAGTCCAGTCCCAGTCCACAGTTCATGGGCTTCCAATAGTGTAGCCCGTCATCTCTACTTCCGGGTAATAACTATTCAAGAAGCTCTTTTATTGTGGATATCACACACCAAATTAGTCCCAGAGGCTCTGTTGTACACACACACACAAATGCACACACACACACACACACACACACACACACACACACACACACACACACACATACTGTGTGTGCATGTGTCCCTCTGGTGGTAGGGAAGGTTTTGTATTGAAGCTGGAAGGAAGGGTACTTGGATTTGAACTGACTTGAGGAGAACTTAGAAAGCTGAAGATGAAAGGAGCCAGCGTGGACTTTCAGCAAGGACAGTGAGCGTGGTGTGGCCAAGCTTCAGGTCAGGAACCAGGAAACAGAGTTCCATCTTGACTGAAAGAGCTTTTGTGTCTCTGTGAAACTTTGTTTAGACACAGCTACTTTGTGTGTTAATGAAGGAATTAGATGAATTCTGATATGAAATTCATTAAAATTTGATATTGATCATGACTCAGTAGTACAGTGATACTTATTTTACTTATAGTATTTTCAATATAATAAGCACATACTAATTCTCTTTCTGTGTGTGTTGTTTTGTTTTTTGAGACAGGGTTTCTCTGTGTAGCCCTGCTGTCTTAGACCTGTCTCTGTAGACTAGCCTGGCCTTGAACTCAGAGATCCTCCTGCCTCTGCCTCCCTATAGTGAACACATATCACTTTTAGAACTAAAACAAAAAGATTAATTTAAACTTACTGGGTCTTATTTGTATATTATTTATGCTCAGTTCTACATTTTCTCCATAAAACACTAATTAAACTTTAAAGTAAAACTCAATGGTACAATAATAAATTTGAAAGAACTTTAATATGTCAGCATTCTTTTAAATACTTTTTTATAATTTATTTATTATTTTCATTTACATTGGTGTTTTGCTTGCATGTATGTCTGTGTGACAGTTTCAGATCTTGGAGTTACAGACAGTTGTGAGCTGCCATGTAGGTGCTGGGAATCGAAACTGGGGCCTCTGGAAGATCAGTCAGTGTGCTTAACTGCTGAGCCATAGCTCCAGTCCCTTGGGTCAGCATCCTTTTACTTAAAAGGAAAAATGGGTAATGATTCAGCGTTTTTTATTTTTTTACTTAAGTTGGTTTTGATATTATACCTGTGGGGAAATGTAAGGCATCCATGAAGGTGGCTTAGAGCCTTTATGTATTTGCAGAGAATCTATCGACCTGTCAGGTCCAAATAGTCATAATCTGAGACAATAGGGTTGCCGAGAGAAAGATAACTCTCTTAGGGCTTCTGCACTTACACTGATTGCTTTTGAATTGTTTAATCTGATGTTGTCTTTAAAGTAAGAACAGAGATTGGAGAATTTTCCACCTGGACAGCATCTCTTATGGAGACAACACCTTCAGAGAGGCCCAAAAGAGGTGAAGTCAGTTGGCATGGTTGATTCGGAAGCATTTCTTGAGTTACCAACCCCAAAGAGAACAGTGTATTTAGCTTGCGTTTGACTCGGGAAGCCAATCTACATCCGACTTCAACTTCCTCGGGGATTATTTTCTGAGGTTTACCTGACCCTCCATCAGCTCCTTCCCCTGTCCATCCACAACCTTCCCTTCTGATAGATACAACGACTAGTTACCAAGCTGTGGCAGGCTCAGCATCTCACTTCTTGTGGTCCCGAGATGAGCTTTTTGTATAACTGCTTATATTCTCCTCCGCATTAAGATGCATTTGTCCTTTGGAGTTAAAAAAATAATAATAATGCAATCGTAAGGAGCCACAGTAGAAAACATTAATGTTTTGACTAATTTAAAATAGCAAAAGAAAAATACCTACACTATAATTTTCGGTTTATGAGGATGTAAGGTATCATTATAGGAGTTTAGTTGTTTCTTCTCAGTACCAATTACTTTAGACGTGTCTAATTTGTTTTCCTCTTTTACATCCACACTATTGCCTTTAAAGTAAATGTGAGTTGGAGAAGAGGGATGACTAACTATGTGTCAGCTCCTCTCAGGGCAGATCATCCAGGCTAAGGTTGAGAGTCAGGTGAAGTGAGTTAGTAAAGGCTCCTATTCATGTCTCAGGCGTCCCTTTTACACAGCTTCAAAAACAGCCT